CATGAATCCGCACTGCAAGGCCCCATGGGCTGGGAGGAGGATGCAAAGGAAAACCCACATAGGTGAACTGGAGAAGCAGCAGTGCAGCACTGGCCAGACACTCCCACACTGCTTGACTGCTGCAGACAAGGTTGTTCTGCCACGCTGAAGCCACAATCGAGTGGCTCCGCCTACTCCCCCCCAGCACTCCCTCCTTTGCATCAGTTGCTCGCGGGCCACATAAGAGCCCTGGACGGGCCGGTTCTGGCCCCCGAGCCTTATGTTTGACATCCCTGGTTGTAGTGGTTACTGGAGAATTGGGTTTGCTTCCCCACTTCTCCATGCGAAGCTTGCGGGGTGACCTTGGGCCAGTCACTGTTCTTTCAGAACTCTCTCAGCCTCACCTACCTCACAAGGTGCCTATTGTGCGGAGAGGAAGATGATTGCTACCACTTAGAGACTCCCTAAGGTCGAGAAAAGCGGGGTACAAAAACCTACCCTTCTTCTTCCTCAGCCAGTACCCATTGCAATAAACCTGCCCTGGGTTTGGATGTATGGAAGCAGGGATTTTTTTCTGGGGGAACATGCCAGAACCGTGTTCCGGAACCTCTTCAACAAAATTCTTTTAAAATGTTTAAAAGTTCATGAGTTTTCAGTATACAGATTGACAGGGCTGTTTTTCTAGAAAAAGCCCAGCAGGAACTCATTAGCATAATAGGCCACACCCAACAGCAGGAACGCATTAGCATATTAGTCCACACCCCTGACAGCACAGTTCATTAGCACATTAGGCCGCACCCCCAGGTTACCAGAAGTGTGCTCATCCAGCCACACCCACCTTTTGCTTCTTATTCTGTTTACCTTGTTTGTTGTCAAAACCCAGGGCCTTTTTTTGTAGCAGGAACTCCTTTGCATGTTAGGCCACACACCCCTAATGTAGCCAATCCTAATGAGTTTCTGCTGTTGGGTGTGGCCTATTATGCTAATGAGTTCCGGCTGGGCGTGGTCAACTCAGGAGCCAGCCAGAACTCCGTTCCTGTGCGTTCCTGCCCAAAAATAGCCCTGCAGATTGAAAACATTTCCTTCTTGAGAGTTCTGGCACCACTTTTTCAAAAAAAAAAAAGAATCCCTGTGTGGAAGGGTGCGGATGAGTGGAAGGGTGCTCTTCAATGCCACCACCCAAACTAGATCCAGCCTCCCATGGGTGCTAGTGGTTTGGGGGACCCCTCTGAGCATGTACAAAGGGCAGAGTTTCCCAATTAATGTCAGGCACGAGGGGAGGTATTCGAAACACAAGTCTTGCTCTTTTAGACAGGACAGAATTTATTAACTGCAAGTTATCAAACTGGAGCACAAGACAAGGCAAAATGACTATCGTAGTTGATGGCTACAGCAGATAATACCTCTGCTAACCTTAATAATGCCTCTAAGAGTCCGATCAGACGGCTCTTTAGATCCGCGCAAGGCACGATTGCCTCACGGATCTAAAGGTTGTGTCCAGACACAAACATCTGGGAAATGTCCGTCGTCCGTGGGCATCCCGTTTTGCCGCGCTTCAGAGCTGTACTTCAAAGATAGCACTTTAAATCTGGGGTTTTCGGTTACCTGCGGGACAACCGCGGACTTTCACCCGTCTGATCGTTCCACCAGCACCCAATCCTCCTGTCGAGGTGGTCTGATGTTTTTAAGTAAAAAAACACCTTTGTGTTTGTGTCCTTTAAAAAGTTTATATCTCAGCTACCTGGCATTACGTTTTATGACACACATGGCTTGGCCCAACAACAACAAGGTCTCATTTATGTCAGATCCGGCCCTCATAACAAATGAGTTCGACACCCCTGCCTCACAGGGTGTTCAAGGTGAGACATTCAGAGGCAGGCTGCCATCCTCCTCCTCTGCATAGCAACCCTGGACTTCCTCTGTAGTCTCCCATCCAAATACCAACCAGGGCCGACCCTATTTAGCTTCTGGCATCTGGCGAGATCGGGCCAGCCTTCCATTCACTCCTCCCCTAAAGCAAGATCTTATTAATATGAGATCGATATATGAGTATAGTCTCAATTTAGAATATAATTAAACAAGATTTATCACGAAATCAAATAATAACAGTGCTCTGGCCACCTTACTAGTAAATGCAGCAAAACCAGCCATCTACAGTCAAAGGAGACAGCTCTACAGACTTGGGAGATTTTATCTATCTTTTGCATTTTCATCTTGCCCTTCCTCTAAGGAACTCATAATGGCATAGATAGTGGTTCCTTCACAATTTTATCTGCACAAGACCCCTATGAGGTAAGTGAGACCCAGAGATGAGAGAGAGCGTAATTAGCCTCAGGTCACCCAGTGAGCCTCCTGCCTGAGTTGAAATCTGAACTCTGGTCTCCCTAGATCCTAGTCCAACATGTAGAAGAAGAGATTGAATTTATACCCCGCCCTTCACTACCCAAAGGAGTCTCAGAGTGGCTTACAAACTCCTTTCCCTCCCCACCACAGACACCCTGTGAGGTAGGTGGGGCTGAGTGAGCTCTGACAGAAACTGCTCTTTTTCAAGAACACCTCTGACAGAACTATGGCTTGCCCAAGGTCATCCAGCAGGTGCAAGTGGAGGAGTGGGGAATCAAACCCGGTTCTCCCAGATTAGAGTCCGGGCACTTAACCACTACACCAAACCACTACACCAGATATATAGAAAACGGTGACTTTGTCAATTAGTCACCAAAGCCCTCCTGCTAGCCATGGTGACTGAGGGGAACCTCCATGTTCAGAGGCACTAAAGCTCTGAATCCTAGGGCCAGGAGGCAACATCAGGGGAAGGCCTTGGCTTCTATGCCCTGTTGTTGGCCCTCCAGAGGAACTGGTTGGCCACTGTGTGGGACAGGATGTTGGACTAGATGGACCACTGGTCTGATCCAGCAGGGCTCTTCTTGTGTTCTTATCAGGGGAAGGCCTCAGCCTCTCTCTATTTATTTATTATTTCAATTTATATCCTGCCTTGCCACAGAACTGGCTCAAGGCAGCTAACAACGTTCAAAACACTAAAACAATAAATGCATTAAAATACAGGGTATAAATACAACTGCCTGAGTAACTAAACAGTACTAATCATGATAATGATAATGGCGGCGTGCAATATACAAACAGAGGCAATAACCAACCGATGTTTCATGCGGGCTGAGATGTATTCTGGCAGCGCATTCGCCAGTGGCCCATTCATCAGCGTCTGCTCCTAATCGAAAGCCTGGGGGAAGAGCTCCGTTTTGCAGGCCCTGCAGAACTGTAAAAGGTCCCACAGGGCCCTGATGTTATCCGGGAGCTCATTCCACCAGCGTGGAGCTGCCACTGAAAAGGCCCTGGCTCTAGTAGCAGCCAACTTGATGTCTCTCGGGCCAGGAAGAGTCAGGCGATTCTGTGTTCCTGACCTCAGTGCTCTCTGGGGCACAGGTGGGGAAAGACAGTCCCTCTCTGCCCTGTTGTTGGCCTTCCAGAGGAATTAGTTGGCCCCTGTGGGAGACAGAATGCTGGACTAGATGGACCACTGGTCTGATCCAGCAGGGCTCTTCTGATGTTCTTATCAGGGGAAGGCCTTGGCCTCTTTGCCCTGTTGTTGGCCTTCCAGAGGAATTAGTTGGCCCCTGTGTGAGACAGGATGCTGGACTAGATGGACCGCTGGTCTGATCCAGCAGGGCTCTTCTGATGTTCTTATCAGGGGAAGGCCTCGGCCTCTCTGCCCTGTTGTTGGCCCTCCAGAGGAACTGGTTGTCCACTGTGTGAGACAGGATGCTGGACTAGATGGACCACTGGTCTGATCCAGCAGGGCTCTTCTGATGTTCTTATCAGGGGAAGGCTTCGGCCTCTCTGCCCTGTTGTTGGCCCTCCAGAGGAACTAGTTGGCCACTGTGAGACAGGATGCCGGACTAGCTGGACGACTGGCCTGATCCAGCAGGGCTCTTCTTACGTTCTTATGTTTTATTGACATTGTAAACCACTTTGAGTTCTGCATGGCAGAAAAGCTGCCAATCAAGCATTATAAATAAATATATAAATATTGGGCCCAGTTAAATACCGGATGTAATCCGCCCTGAGTCCAAGTGAGAAAGATGGACAATAAATATAATGTAAATACATGAATTAAAACCTACACTCACAGAAGAATGAGGTGGTACATAAGAACATCAGAGAAGCCAGTGTTGGATCAGGCCAATGGCCCATCCAGTCCAACACTTTGTCACACAGTGGCCAAAAACACCAGGTGCCATCAGGAGGTCCAGCAGTGGTAGAATGAAGGGCATCACCTGCCCACTAGAGGAGGTGAATTAATTATTTAAATTTATTTATAAATTAAATGTATAAACCACAATCCCCTGAGTGCACATGCTCAGGGCAGTGAACAACGGTAAAAGCACTAGTAAAATAATGGAACAATTCAAACAATTTAATGGAACAATTCAAACAATTTAAACAGTACAGAATTAAAACATTCTCAAGCAGTGCTCAACTTCAGGATTCCAGATTGTGCCACTATCTTTTATTAGGCTTTTGACCACTCCCCCGCATTAAATAATTAAAAAAAGAACTCCGCATAAAAAATTAGCACAACTTTCCTTGTGCTGCTGGCTTTCTGCTTGCAGGGTGGGCTATTCGGAGCGCCGTCTTGCTCCCTTTAGACTGTGGAGCCTTGTAAACAAAAAATCTACTTTGTGAACTACTGGCATTAAAGTTGTGAGCGAGCCATTTGGCTGCTACATAACTCAAGTTTGCTCTGCAGCCGTCCTTCCTGTGAGAAAGAAAAAATGTGTGAGCTGGGGGCTAAAAAAAGCACGAGCTAGCTCACAGTAACTCAGCTTAGAGGGAACACGACCCCGTCCCTCCCCGGGGGCTCGCCGGCGGCTCCCGCACCTCGACCCGCCAGCCTTGAATTAATCCAACCCACGTGAGGGCACGAGGGCTTCGGAGCGCCGCCTTGCGCGTGCGCAGGGGGGGGTTGAACCTGCGGGTTCGCGCATGCTCGCTCGCCACCGAAGGCAGCCGGAGTCGAGCGAAGGGAGTCCTCCTCGCCGCGCCCCGGAGCGGAGCGTCCCTCTCCCCATTCCGGTCCCTTCATGGCGGTCTCCCTTCCCCCGCTCGGGTCGCCTCCGACCCGCCGCTCGGTGCCCGGGGTGCCCGGCGTGGTCCCAGCCGCCTTCGGCCCCCCTCGCTGAGGGGGAGGAGGGAGGAACCAGCCGCCGCCGCCGCCGGCGAGGAGCCCCCATCGCGGTGCCGCCGCCGCCAGCCCCTCCGAGTGGGCCATGGCGACCCCGTGCTGGCCCCCTCCGCCCGGGCTCCTCCTGCTGCTCCTGGCGCTCCTCGACGGGGGCGGAGGGGGCCCCGCGGGGCTGCCCGCCGGGTGCAAGCAGGACGCCGGGGGCGGAGGAGGAGGAGGCGGAGGCCGCCCCAGGGGCGCCAAGGCGTCGGCCGCCGAGGGAGGAGGAGGAGGAGGAAAGGTGGTCTGCAGCAGCCTGGAGCTGGACCACGTCCTGCCGCCCGGCGCGCTGCCCAACAGGACGGTCACCCTGTGAGTAGCGCCGCCACGCGTCGGTGGGCGGGAGGAGGGGGCGTGGGCCGCCCACGCAGACAGACGGGGGCACCGACGACCGGGGGGGGGGAAATCAGGTCACCATAAGGAGGTTGAGACTTTTACCCAAGAGATCTAATGTGTAAAATCTGATGTGTCAGAGCCCTTCGGGGATGAGCGGGGTACAAATTGAAAGTACATAAGAACATAAGAGACGTCAATGTTGGATCAGGCCAAAGGCCCATCCAGTCCAACACTCTGTGTCACACAGTGGCCAAAAATACCAGTGCCATCAGGAGGTCCAGCAGTGGGGCCAGGAGGACACTAGGAGCCCTCCCACTGTTGCCGCCTCCCCCAAGCACCAAGAAGACAGAGCACCACTTGCCCCAGAGCCCCTATCTATACCTTGTGGCTAATAGCCACTGATGGACCTCTGCTCCATATGCTTATCTAATTCCCTCTTGAAGCCGTCCATGCTTGTAGCACCCACCACTTCCTGTATAAATAAATAAATAAATAAAAGGTAAAGGTTCCCTTGCTCGAAAGAGTCCGACTCTAGGGTTGCGGTGCTCGTCTCCGTTTCCAAGCCGAAGAGCCAGCGCTGTCCGAAGCGCTGCCCCCTCTAAGCTGGGTTAGTGTGAGCTAGCTCAGGGTTTTTTTAGCCTCCAGCTCACACATTTTTGTTTTCGCTCAGGAAGGAGGGCTACAGAGCAAACCAATGTGATGCAGTAGCCAAATGGCTCGCTCACAACTTTAATGCCAGTAGCTCACAAAGTAGAATTTTTGCTCACATGACTCCACAGCTTAGAGGGAACACTGGTCCGAAGACGTTTCCGTGGTCACGTGGCCGGCATGACTAAACACCGAGGTGCACGGAACACTGTTACCTTCCCACCGAAGTGGTACCTATTTATCTACTGGCAATTTCTTGCTTTCGAACGGCTAGGTTGGCAGGAGCTGGAACTAGAGACGGGAGCTCACTCCGTCATGCGGCACCCTCAGGTCTCGAACTGCTGAACTACTGTACTTCTCGTTAAAAAGAGTAGTAGTTGTAGTTTTGTTTGGCCCATGTATGTAAATATAGTTGTCAGGGTTGATGTACTGTGAGTCAGTCACGTTGCATGGGCTCCACGTGGGATATGTGAAGGTGATGGGAAGGGGTTTGGTGATGCTGATCTATGGCTGTTTGGGCAAGAACCTGCAAGGCACCCCGATCCCAAATAAAGGACCCCCCCCCATCTCAGTATTCTTATACTGTGGTTTGGGGATATACGTTTATAATAATGGATGATTTATTGTTTGTTTGTTTTTAAAAAACACAACACCATCCCCTATCACAGTGCGGCCCCCAACCCTTTTGGTTTGGGGGCTCACAGGCAAAATTTATTTGTTATGGGGACCCTCATTTTTTTTAAAAAAACCAATCAGGACATTCACAAATCTGTTAAAACTACAAAAGGCTGGGGTCCATTTTCACAAGCTGTGCTACCCACTTTTGGGGTCAGGATCCACAGGTGGAAAATATTGCCCTCTGAAACCAGTAATTTTCAAATTTAAGGGTTGTAGTATGGTGTCTTGAACCTGTGAGGGTTTTGTAGTAGCTGTCATGGATGATATATCAATAGCAACAACAGCAATAATAATAAATGTCCTCCCGTTTTTGGGGAAACAAGAAGTTCTTTCTCTTCCTTTCTCCCTCTGCCCTGGAACTCAGGTCAGTGAATATGCTAAGTACCCTGCTGGAGCAAACCAAAGCTTTATGTGGCAGTATTCTAAGCCTTTTGCATCAGAGACCCAATTACATTTTTATTACTGGTTAAAATGTTGGACTGGGATCTGTGAAATGTGTGTTCCGATCCCCACTTTGTTGCGGAAGCCTGTGGGGTGCCCGGTGGCCACTTACACACCTAGCCTGCCTCACAGGGTTGTTGTGAGGATAAAAGGAAGTGAGAATGTTGTAGGCTGCTTTGGGTTCCCATTGGGAAGAAAGGTAAAGGTTTCCCTTGCTCGAAAGCTGCTCGAATCTGACTCTAGGGGGTTGTGCTCATCTCTGTTTCCAAGCCAAAGAGCCAGTGCTGTCCGAAGACATTTCCGTGGTCATGTGGCCGGCATGACTAAACGCCAAGGTGCACAGAACGCTGTTACCTTCTCACCGAAGTGGTACCTCTTTATCTACTTGCAATGTCTTGCTTTCGAACTCCTAGGTTGGCGGGAGCCGGGACCAGAGATGGAAGCTCACTCCGTCACGCGGCACTCGGGTCTTGAACAGCTGAGCTACTGACCTTCCGGTCTGCAGCTCAGCGTCTTAACCTCTGAGCCACCACTCCCTGGGAAGAAAAGTGGGATGTAAATAAATAAGAACATAAGAGAAGCCAGGCCAATGGCCCATCCAGTCCAACACTCTGCGTCACACAGTGGCCAAAAATACCAGGTGCCATCAGGAGGTCCAGCAGTGGGGCCAGGGCACTAGAAGCTAAATAAAATATCTCTCTTCCCTCTTTCACCCCTTTTTCATCATTCTTAGGTCAAAGTGTGATCCAGTTGTGGGACCTAACCCACATGTTCAGGGTTGGATTAATGACCGTATTGTGTTTCCAGTTTTGGCTTCCCCAGGTGTCTGGAGAAACTTTCAAGCAGTATATAAGCTGATTATTAGTGTTCCATTGTTTGTTTCCAGCATCAAGTGCTGACTCGTCTACTCTTTCTGAACTCTTAGGTATCAGAGCCTATGGATGCAAATGGCACAGAAACAGGATTTTTATATCCCCTACAGTTAACATAACATAAGAGTAGCCAATGTTGGATCAGGCCAATGGTCCATCCAATCCAACGCTTTGTCACACAGTGGCCAAAAATACCAGGTGCCATCAGGAGATCCACCAGTGGGGCCAGGACACTAGAAGCGCTCCCAGTGTAGCACACACACCCGAAGCCCCAGGAGTTCCTATCTATACCTTGTGGCTAATAGCCACTGATGGACCTCTGCTCCAGATGTTTATCCAATTCCCTCTTGAAGCTGTCCATCCTTGTAGCTGCCCCCACCTCCTGTGGCAGTGAATTCCATATGTTAATCACTCTTTGGGTGAAGAAGGACTTCCTTCCCATGCATAATCTCGTAAACCTCTATCATGTCTCCCCTCAGTCATTTCTCCAAACTAAAGAGCTCCAAGGGCTCCAACTTTCCCTATCATTCTAGTTGCCCTTTTCTGCACTTTTTCCAATGCTATAATATCCTTTCTGAGGTGTGGTGACCAGAATTTAGTAGCTCAATCATAGCCATGTTTACTCAGGAACAGTGATGTGGGGTGGAAAAATATTCCAGAAAACTCCCTGATGTTATATTTTTCCATGGAAAGTTTTTTGCCCATGTATGTTAATATAGTTGTCAGGGCTGATGTACTGTAAATCAGTCATGTTAGATGGGCTAAATGTGGGATGTGAAGCATGGATAAACTGCAGCACTTGTACGTGGCATTTTTGCTTTCTGCTGGCAACATTATTTACATTTCGCTAACATTTGACATTTTTTTGGAAAATCCACTGCAGCTCAGAAATAAGGTTGTAGTGTCTTCACATTTGTATGGGAGTAAGTTTCCCATTGAACTCAGTGGGGCTTGCTTCTGAGTAAGAGTGTATAGAATTGAGTTGTGAGTTCTGTCAATTTCTGTGCGATTAACTTCTGACTAAAACATCCAAAAAAAGATAAAGGTAAAGGTTCCCTTGCTCGAAAGCCAGTCGAATCCAACTCTGGGGTTGCGGTGCTCATCTCCGTTTCAAAGCTGAAGAGCCAGCGCTGTCCGAAGACGTTTCCGTGGTCATGTGGCCGGCATGACTAAACACCAAGGCGCATGGAACGCTGTTACCTTCCCACCAAAGTGGTACCTATTTATCTACTTGCAATTTCTTGCTTTCGAACTGCTAGGTTGGCAGGAGAAAACATCCATAGAGAGTAATAATAATAATAATCTTTCAATTTATTAATCGCTCAATCCTGCAGATCTTGCTGGCTCTGAGCGATTTACAGTTACTCAAATGCACACGGGACTAACAATGATTCAAGGGGTGTAAGGGAGAAGTAGCACTTTGCTAAGCATCCATTTCAGAATATTTTCTTGAACACCAATCTGAGGAAGAGTTCTGTCTTGCATTATGTGATGTACATGTTGTGTTGATCGTTACATGCTTTATGTGCTGTCTTTCAAACCAATTTCACAGCTCTCTGGGACAGCAATATGGTTCAACACCATAAGGCGGACATTGCTTGTCTAGAGTGATGTTTGACGTGTGGTGGAATGGGAAATTACGAGTGGGCTGTTGACTGCTCATACAGTTGATTGCATGTAAGGTATATGGCAAAAGACACCGCGAAGAAGCATGCCATTCTGATATGCTTGACAATTAGAACTTTAGAATAAAAGCGTAACTCTCTCCAAATTTCCAGCCAGTAAGGTGTATTGCTGTGGAAGTAATATAGCGCTAAGCCTCTGAAGATTAACTGTGCCATCTTTTGCACAGTTACACTCTGATTTGCAGATTGCCTTCGGTGGACTGAAGGGTTTAACTCTGTTTAGGATTGTACTCCAAAAAACATGAACTGGATGGTTTATGCGGTGGTATGGTGATGGAAAGTTGTTGCTTGTCAGTAGCGAAGTCACAAGCATTGTCCAGTTGGTGCCTGTATTACGTGCATATGGCACAACAGAGAACCTACTAGTTCATGTAGGGGTTGCATTAGAGGAGAAGAAACTTCTAGAGGCAAAATATTATGTTGTCGATGGCTTTCACGGCCAGAGTTCATTAGTTGTTGTAGATTCTCTGGGCTGTATGGCCATGGGCTTGCCAAGCCCACGGCCATACAGCCTAGAAAAATCTACAGCAACTAATAAAATGTATATAGATATTTTTATTTTGTTAGATTTGTATCCTGTCCTCCCCGCATAGCAGGCTCGGGCGGGTTCCATCAAACACAGTATACAAACAATTAAAACCAATTAAAATAC